TTGTTTAATCTCACCTATCAGCAAGGTACTCTTTTATGAAAATGTCTTTCAACAGCCTCTAGCAACCTTCAGTCTATTGCAAATACTTAACTCCAGTCTTGTAACAGAAGTGACTCAAACTGACAGATGATGAAAAATTTAAACACTAGACTTTAAGAAGCTATCGCCTCTGTCCTGTTCTTGAAAACCCTTTTCAGCTATTCTTTTGGGAGCGCCACAGTACATGTCTCTCATTCAGACGTATCTGGTTTCCTAGACAATGAACTTTCTTGTGTTTGTTTCTGCCTTTGCCGTATTAATTTTGCAGTAAGGTTTGATTACTCTGCATAGCTTAAAACATGCTACCAACGTCAATCCTGATTTGTTTATTCCAACTTTGATCGGGGAGTGTATTTTAATTAAAGCATGCTAAATTAATATATAGGAGATTAAATGCTAAGGAAAGTGCTGTTTTATCCTGACTAACTCCAACAGACAATTAGCAGGTGCAGAAAAAGTCTGTTGTGAAATAGCCCTGCTTGATAAGGCAATTTGCGGGATAAAATAGTTCCTTTTGTCAGTGAAACTAGTCCGTTTGCAGAAGTTCACTGCAGCTTTTAGACAACTCCAAATCACCCTGTGGGGATCTCTGCAGATCCCATCCAGCATTTCCCCAGAGATCGTTCCTTGCACCACGGCAGCATACGCTGTGATCAGATCTCCGAGATGTCACCTTTGCAGGACGCTGGCTACAAGGAGCTCCCAGTTCGCCTTCGCCCCTTGTTCCCCAGCCGGTCTTCCACGTAAAGAAATCCTAGACATTTTATCACTCACTCCAATGCAGCTGCTGCCTTTCTGAAGCTTGATAACCAGAAAGCTAACTTCATAATCACAAGTCTTGCCGATAAGCCCATGCACCGCCAGCGCCCGTCCTCCCCCTTGCAGAATTCAGGCTGGCAAGGGAGGTTGGGGAGTAAGGGGAGGGCAGAAGAGAAGAGAGATGTGGGGTTCTTGGGGCATCTATGGGGGAAGTCAGGACCCCACGGCACTTTACCTGTCTCTGCCGTGTGCGCCTCCTTCCCCACACTCGCAGTGCAATGAGCTGGGCGGCTCAGCCAGGGACCCCGAGAGCAGGGGGCAGGGACTGGGGCCAGCACCGCCTTGCAGCCTCAGGTGTCTGCCCAGCAGCACCCAGCCTTCAGCCAGAGGGGAGGAGAAAAGGCTCCTCTGCTGGGGGGGCTCAGAGGGTGAGGGACTGCCGTAGCAGGCAGAAGAGGATGCTTCCCCTCCCGAGATGAAGAGAGCTCAACAACTTCCGTGGGGACAACACACAGGGCCAGGCTGGTGCTGCCCAGCACCCTGCCCCCCCATCTCGGGCAGGTGGCCCTGGGCTCCTCGGAGCAGCATACGAACCGACTGTACCTGGGATCACCCAGCAAAAGGGGGCTGTGGTTTCTGTGAGATGAAGTTGTTCCAACTTCGTGTTGAAAGTTTCCGACTAAATCATTCCCTTGCACAACATCTTTTTCCTGTGATGCAACACATCCAGTGCCACCTTGACAGAACAGATAGTTTAGTTACTCTCCAGGGCAAAACACTGCACATTAGTGAGACCACTGGGGTGCGACTTGCACACCATCACCCACAGCAGGATAGGGACAACGGAGGGACAAGGCAGGTTCCCCAAATCCAGGAGTAATGAATTTGGACATTGGACTTGCAACAAACACTTGTCATCCCCTTTGACGACATCTTAAAGTATTTCAGGCAATTTAATCAACTACTGGAGTCACGAGTTTCTTTGCGTGGGATGCGTGAGAGACATTAACTACAACAAATGCACTCTCGAGGTCTAGAAAGAGAAAGAAGTCCATCCCTGACACAATGAGCCACGCTGCGCCCCTTCCTTTGCAAGGAACTCTGATTTTAGAAGTACGGGTGTAGGTAGAGTCCCTCAGGGCTACACTGTACGTTCAACAGGACTAAGCAGGTTTTTGACCCTGTTGAACATGGTCCCTTAGAATTTAAGCTTACTCTGTTCATAGCTTTTCCCTGCTATTGCTCATGTTTTAATAAGTGTTTTAATTCCCCATCTCAAGTGTAAGAATACTTGTTTAAATAAAAGGAACAAAATAGGAAATAATAAAAAAAACCCCAAACCTATTATCTATATCGCATCTTCGGTTTCAAAACCTCTCAAAGCTATTACAAACCAGTCCTAAGTGACAGGACTAAAAGATACGAGATGTGAAATGCATAGTCTCTTGTGTGATTTTTAACCTGTGGGATTAAAACACTTAGTACCTTTGAAGAATTTTGTCTGAATACATATTTGCTACATGAAGCTAAATTCATTACACATTAAGAAACATATTTTCCCACTACTAGATGAGTACAAATAAAGGTAACAAAACAAAAATGAATGGATTCACTCCAAAGCATACATAGCTCATTTTTCCAACAGATAAATCTGATTGTACTCTGTGCCAAAATTCAACAGCACATGCTGAAACGAGAATAATACTGAGCCTGAATTACTGTTGAAAAAACCCCCCACCCGTCAAACCCCTCATCCATACTACAGAATACTTACTATTTCACAAAGATGACTGAGAATAAAAGGCTATTAAATCAGCAAGAGAAATCACTAACCATCAGGCAAAGGAAGTCCAAGGTAAACCTAAAAAGACACGCTGAAGCATCCTGCCTGGCATAAGATCACCAATCATTAAAAAAAACCAACCCCAAACAAAAACCACAATGCACAACTTTTTTATATTTCAAAAGCAAAAGATAAGTCAGTTCTTACTTTACTTACCAGCTGATATACAAGCCGAGGTTTCTCTGCTCTCTCACAACACACACATCCCAAGCAACGTACAACATAGGCCTGCCAGTTCTGTACCACTTACGATGCCGCTTGTTGTTCTAAAGGAAGGTTATATCCCAACTGCCAGAAATTACCCATTTTAAACAGAGTTTTTAAAACAAGACATGTTAAAATAAATAGCATTTATTTAGTGTTCCTGAAGAAAAGACAATGTCCCAAGCTAGCAAAACCTTCAAAATCAGGTACCTATAGCTTGATCCTCAGAGGCAGTTTGACTCACAAAATTTGCAAGAAACTGCCTGCAAGTTTTTTAAGCTGAAAACTTTTCAGAACAACTTGCCTAGAAAGTTTGTTATTAAACCCATCAGTTTAAAGTGCAGTTTTGGCAAGTTCTACCATAACCCCTTTAGCTGGAAAATGGCATATGCAAATCAATGAGGATTTATGAGGCTTTGAGAGGAACATGAAGGAAACCCAACCAAAAGTGATACATTTTTTGTGGACTGCTATCCCTTTAAACAATACTTAAATGCCGTTTATATAAATGCAAGGTTGTGCTGCTACTGAGAGCTTGATTCTCAACACAAAGAGCAGTTGCTGCAGACAAGCGTGGCTATGGTTACAAAAATGAACACAAAAGTTAATGCAAAAAGTCATCTCAAAAAAAGTTTATTAGCATGATTAAAAACATGTGAAGAATGACAGTAAGAGAGAAAGTAACTTCGCATGGAAGAATATCCATTTCAACAGTTTATATTCAACACGGCTTGAACTGAATGGATAACTTTATTGCCAGGTTTCACTTGATTTCTTTAACAACAGTTCACATTGTATCAGCTTCACCATTATTAGGACTATTGCTTTTGTTTGGATCTGATCCCTGTTGCAGGTAAGTATAAAAAAATATCCCCCATTACTGCTGGATTGCAGAATGTATTGTTGGCTTAAGAGCTGGTAAAAAAGAAATTCTCAACTGAAGAGTCTGTTTAAAAAAACCACCTTTTTTTTCCTAATCGCACTACAAAGAAATACATTAGTATTTTGGCCTTTAAATTTCTTACATGGTATTTATTTAGCATGGCAATCCCCGAATTCCCTCCCTTTAAGTAACCATAAATCAAACTCCTCTTTCAGAGGCTGTTTCTTGGGTTAGATTCTGGAGATTTACTTCATACACGCTTACACTGGCTTGAGGACGAAGACAGCATCATCTAGTACATAGTAGTCATTATACATATCACCTTCACATAGGTATGGAAGTCTGGTGAAAGCCTCTATGGCAAAACCAGCTTTACTGAAAACTTCTGGCAGGCTATTCACCTGTTCTTCCCAAGTGTGCCCTTTGATTTCCAACACTTCTGAGGGCTTTTCCCACTTGCCACCTACTGAGAAAACAAAACAGTTTGTTTAAATTATAAAGAAAACTTTATTGTGTGTTGTATTTTCTTACAGAAAGCATATTATACAGATTATATTCCATTCCACTCCAAACAGGAGGTTGACAAGCCATTTGTAGAGCTGTTGCCAGATCAGTTCAAGTTTTTGCCTATTGTTCAGAAGCAGCTCCTTCTTAAGGTTATCTTTTCTTACATTTTTAACTAGCAGTTCCAAGACTGGCTGAAAAGTAACTTCCACTAGTGAGGCTGGTGTTCAGCAGACATGGACAGACAGACAATTTAATGAAGATCTTTTCCAGCATTATAAAATTCTTTCTTTATGCCCACTGTCTGGCCAAAGATGGCTTCAGGTAATTACAGTAAATAGAGTCAGCAAGTTGAAAATCATGATTTGCTGTGAAGCTTCCATCAGTAGATCACCACATTATAATGGATGGCTACAGGAGCTTTGAACCTCTGGTGGCCACCTACTAGCTGATATGGTAAAGACTGCTTAGGGTCACATAAAATTAAGAAACTGAACACTTGTAGCATGCTGGAAAACGTGTTGTCATTTATTATATCCAATGAAATAATCTGAAGGATTATAGGTACAACTCTCAGAAGTTCAAAATTTAAAACTCTTCACTCATTTTCCAAGTAATGTCATCCACAAATAACAAACGGTTTCTGGTTTGGTCTGTACCTTTAACCAGTTTGCTAAATGCAGTAGCAAACACCCTTCTAACCAGGAAGTTCTAAATCTTGTGATTCAGAGCGTTCTTCAACTCCAAACATTTCCTAAGTTCCTCTTCCTTCAAGCAGAACCATTTGCAGAGAGACACAAGAAATGGCATCTTTCCACAAATTAAAAGAAGTGCTAATGCTGGCATTTGACTGGATTCTGTACAGTGCTGGTAAGGCTTTTTTTTAAGCTTCTTATATTTTCCCATGTAATAGCAGTTTGAAAAGGTTGTGGTTATGATTTGCAGCATAGCTACAAAATCAGAGCAGTAAAAAGTTTTGCTGAGAATCAAGCTAATTTCTGCTATCTTCATGCAACTTCCAAATTAAACAACTGTTAGTAAATGCTTTTTCTTCCGAAAGTCTGAAATGCTCCTGTAATCTACGATTTCTGGGTCAAATCCTACTGCACTTCCCTGCAAAGAATGCTCCAGCAGCAGCAGCATGGTTTCAGCACAGCTGTGCTTGTTTGGGATGAGGGTTTGGAAGTTTGGCAGACAGTATCTACATGAACTGAAGCCATGGAGTTCTGCTCTGCAAGGCCACCCAGAGCCCTAGAGTAAGGTGGAAAAGAGAAGTGGATCAACTGCAGAAGCACAAGCTACTGCCTCTCACCACACAGGGTGCAAGTACGCCGACAACTTGTATTACTACAATCTTCAGACTGCTGTAGCTGCTATGGAACAGCTCTGATGTTGATCTGACACAGAAGTAGAGTTTCATTTTATTCCTGTAGAAGTCACAGACACTGAATCTGCTTGGATTTAGTCCATAAAATACTCAGTGAGAAAAATTATGAAGGGACAATGCTGATTGTCCACCGTGGACACGCTTATAAATTGTGTATCAGCAGTAGATTAAGAGACTTCATTTTATTTTTCTTCTAATTTGTTATTTTCTAGGAAGTAGAAAAGGATGCTGTTAAGCTACTACCCTCATTTTCACTGCAATAATCCCAATTCCATTGTTCAAATAACTAAGCAGTTTATTTGAATAAAATTAAATATATTAAAACAGTATTTAAATTATGGATGTCAATACTGCCTTAAAAAAAATCTCCCACACCAGTCATATTAAACCTTACACTTCAGTTCCTTAATTAGAATTCTCTTCTTTGATTAACCTTCCTGTTTTCTCTGCACATATTTTTAAATGTCAGAACTAACAAGCAGTATTATTATCCTTAGAAACCCAGAGTCAATATATGTGATGAAGTGGAAGAATGTCTAGGAACTATCACAAATTCTAATCAATGTTATGAAATTGCTAAATTACAAATGTCTCCATTTACAACATTTCCACTGCCTGCCATCAGGCTGCCTCGCTTGACTCAGATCAGGAACAGTGGAGGAGAGAGAAACCCTTGCAGAACTACTCCACTGAGCATCTAGAGTTAAGTCACACGACACCCCCCCCTCCCCCGCCCAAATCCCCAAAACACTCAGGACTAAATCTGAGGCAGGGGACTGGGGACTACACGAAGTATTCTTTTGGTCTTCTCCAGGACCAAAGGAGACATTCACATTATTTTAGACACATGAATCTTCTCTATACTTTTTCAGAAAAACAGAAAGCTAAGCACATCACCACATAGGTAAAACTGTTAAAGGAACACATGGGAAAGCTGTAGGAATTATCTAAAAGAAAAGGTTGCTTGAAACAACCTTAAAAATTTCAAGTTTGAAACATGGTTGGTTTTCCTCCCACCTTTTCTCAAATGAACCAGAAGTAGCTTATTTTCTTTTTAGATTGTGCCTTGCTTTTTAACTGTCCCTCACATTTCCAATTGTTTATTCCCAACAGGTGCTGCAGATACCTGCCAAGTCACTGTAACACAACCCAGATTTCAGGAAGCTGACTACTCCACGCACACTGTGCTCCTAACATGCACCTTCTCTGCCACTGGATGCTCCTCCTCCTCACCTAACGTTCTATGGTTTCGCTTTTTAGCTAATGAACATGAGGATTTGTGTACTCCTGGATGCACAGATCATCAGAAGTACAAAGTACATTTATTATCAGAAAATAACATTTCACTTCAGATCAATGATCTGACTGTAGATGACAACGCTGTTTATATCTGTGGAATAGCATTTTCAAATTCAGGTTCACCCCGTTCTAAACAAACAGGAGATGGAACAGTACTAACGAAAACAGGTCAGTTGATCATTCCTTCTTAATGAAGCACCTTAAAAGAAATAAATTATCTTTCCTAAATACTCTCTTTATTTACACTTTCAAGAATGGCATTTAAGATGGAAATACCAACAAAACCGTTAGGATTAGTACAACTATATTAAAATATTAATAATAAAACCATGGAGGGATTCTACAAATAAGCATCTTAACCTCATTTGCTAATTAGACTGTTCTGTCATATGATGCGAATGACTCTAGAATTCTACAAAAGAAAGAAGTTTTGTACTCATGTTATCTAACCATACTCTACATCCTCTTACATAAAGACTTTAATGGCTATCAGAAAGGGAGTATCAACAGAAAAATGACAAGTAGAGAAACTGACGTTTAGTGGAAGTACGTGCAGGAGAGTACAGGGTCTCAGAACTCGGGATTCACTGTGCCAACTTGAGAAAACAGTTTTAGTTCTGAACCTTTGTATCATTTGCCTTCTCGTTAAGAAAGTGATGAGACTTCATGAACTACATTTCAGTTTTACATGCCTAAAATAGAAAAAACCAACACCTAGCTGGATTATTACTTTCCCTATATTCCTTCCTCTATCTAATTGCATTTCTGAACAAAAGCCTGTAAGGTTTATTCAGATATTCCTTTATGAGAGCAGAAAACTGGATGCTATTCTCTGTTTACCCCTAAAGGAAGGGTTCATAGTAAAAAAACCCAAGTCTCCATTGCCCTTGCAAACATTCAGGGAAACAAAAGAAAAGTGATCTCACTAAGGAATTTAGACTGAAAATGAACCAGAAAATGTCGATGGGTATAAGGTTTTTTAATTCCTCAGAGGAAGGGGGCTGAAATGCAAAATCTTAAGAAAATTATGTGAATCAGAAGAACTGTCCTTTATTCTAACACTCACTTTTAATAAAGGAGCAGAGAAGCAGAACAGCAATGGAAAACTCATCTTCATGATCATCGCCTCATCCTTACTGTTTCTATACAGCACTACTGTATTCACATTCTTTGTAGTCTACAAGGTAGGCTCAAAGTGATTTTTCTGATTTTGTTCTTTTTGTAAATCTAAGCAGTTTTAACATTTCCATAAGAAGAATAAAAAGACATTCCTAGATTCCATAACTTTTATGATTAAGTTTTAAAGAGGTGGTTGGTTGAAGTTCGTATGCTGCACACATCTGCAAACTCTTGCATGGCACATACCTGTACTCTCAATAGCAAACACATTTCCTTTTTTCAGTAAAGTTTCTAATAGAAAAAGTATCCTAAAGTTAAAATTATCCTGACAGTATTAATCAGCAAGTTGGAGATTATCTGTCAAGGCACACTCAAAAAGCAAAACTAGAAGTTACCATCATAAGTCATCAACTCTCTAGATTAGTTTCCAGTAAAAGTAAAATAATTTAAAGTCAAAGTATTTGTGAGCTGCAGTAAAGTTACTGCAGACTGACTTTACTTGTGTAATGAAATTCTATTCATACATCATACATATACAGAAGAGAGGCCTTGGTAAACTTTAAAAGTATCAGAGACTTGGAAGAAGTTTTATGCTTATAGGAAACAAACACATTAGAATGCACCTGGTTAAAAATTACATGACTATTGGATTATTTTTTTTTTAAATCTAGAACAACATTTGTGTTTAGTTAAAAACAAACGCCCAAAGCTGCAACTGGAATCTTCACATAAGAATGAGACTTTGACACGAGAATGAGGACTTCACAGTCCTAAGTGGTATGATACGGTAAAATGGTTCTTTGCTGTAGTGATCACTGTCTAAGCATAAAGACAGGACAGTCTTTTTGATTTGTTTCTTTAAACTAGGTGAAGTAGTATAGTGGGAGAAATTAATCAAGCCTTCTTCAGGGGAAAAACTGGTATCTGTGATGCCATTGGTTTATTTTTGAGAATTGGGTAGTGCTTCAGGCAGGTCCCACTGTACCCAAAGCAAAAATACTTGCAACATCTACTACCAGAAACTGAAAAAGGCCTTATACGCTTGAAAACTTCCCTGATTTTTCCAATGGTATAAGCTGATCTAATGAAAGACTTTTATCTACAAATTGTTTGGCGCTGTAAAAGGGCAACACTTAACTATTCTGTTACCTTAGCAGCTGGCTTCTCATCTTATGTTTTAATTGTTTTTTATTTAATTATCCCTCCCTCCAGTTAAAACCAAAGCTGCTAAAGAAAAGTGGGAATGAAGACCAAAGAACAGAGAACTGTGTATGTTACCACTTTGTTTGCTTTGTCTGTGATTCAGAGCTTTCTTTTTCTGTCTTTTTAAGTATATTGGGCATCAATTTTGTGATTAATTGATGATTCAGTTAAAGAGACATTCAGAGCTGTTAAGGCTTCACTTCAGATTTGTACAAAACTAGTTAATGATTTTACAGTTAACTAATTTTAACTAATTAGTTAATTAATTTATTTTTAACGACTTGGATACAATCTATGTAAAAGCCATCTCTAATACACAGCTTCCTTTAGGTTTTAAGTAAATTTTGTTCAAACGTCTTCTGAAAATAACAGGTTTTGCTATTAATTTTTTGTTTGTTTAAATGATGCATTCAGGTAAGCCCTAATGTATTTAAAACAAGTCCATTAAGAATCTCTATCGCTATGTATCCTTGAATAAAAATCAGAAGCCACACATTTAAATATCCATTAAAGAAGGTCTATATGTTAAGAGATGTAATATTAATGTAATTTAAAACCCTTCTGTCTGCCAAACTGTACGTTCTTAAAGTGTTACTTAGTAACATTCACAAAGGCAAATACAGGGAAAAAATCAGAATTATAAAAGGTAGAAAAAGATGTTTCCCCCAACTTCAAATGTAGCACTGACCTAAAATATTTTAAATAATTTGCAGAAAATCAGTAGCGGACGAAAAATTTTTCAAGCAATTGCTCAAGAACTTCAAAAGCAGAGGTACGCTGAACACTGCCAACAGCCTGTAAGTATCTATCCACCAATACTGAAATTTATGGGGAAAAAGAGGAACTGACAATTTCTATTTCCTCTGGAAATAGACTTTTCTTTTTTAAAGTTGATAAAGGTCTAAAAAAAGTATTCTGCACAACAGTCAAAGACATTATAGAGCGTTCTAAATGACCATACACATACAATTATATATATGACAGTATATACCTTATAGAATGTATGTATATACATTTAAAAATGAAGCTTCCATAAATTTGTATTTTGCCAAGAATAGGTCTCAACAAGTGGTTCTGGACTGTTTGGCAAAATGCATAGAGCTATTAAGAGTCCATTTTTGAAAAATGTTTCTACTGTAGTTCCTCTTGCTCCCTTAGCCCAGGGCAGCTAGTGACAGCAATGTAACAAAACCGTTAGAAAAGCTCTACAACATTCTTACAGATATTTCCCCCTCCTTCAACTTACAGAGCCTAAACTAAGTATTCAACATCACTGGATAAAGCCACAGAACTTATTGGCATAAATTTGGAATGATGAAATAAGTCTTATATGACTGTATGACAATAATTTTGCATATGCCATGTAAGTTACAAAAAAAACCAACTTTAGAAGTTACATGTATTTGCAAGCAAAGAAAATGGCTTCAAAAATGTTGCTTCTCTTGAGAAACAGTGTAAATTCTTTCCTATTCTGAGCATGGACCGCACCACTTCAGAGATGCGAGGAGAAACCAAAAGAAACAGAACAAAGTCAAACACTTCTCCTCTATACATTTTTACTTAATTTATTTCCATACAGTCCCAATTGTTTTCCTCTGTAATTAACCCTTTAAAGACTTCAAGTGCTTGCTGACATGACCTGGTCCTTGGTTTGAGCGCCAGATATGAACACAGTGAAAATAAGGGGTATGTTTTACTGCCTCTGTGCTCCCTGGAGATTAGGAAAAGTCAAGAGGAAAAGAAACATGTTTTGAATCCTGTAGACGCCACACAGACAAAAGCAACTGGATAAGTGGGGAGAAAGGAGTTTACTGAAACAGTAAAGGGAAGGAGTTTGCCTCAGAAAGGAAATTCTGCCTTTATAAACAAAAAGTTCACATCAGTAACAAAATATTTCTACATTTTTCCCCTAGGATGATTTGGAAGATGACACTGTTTATCAGAACAGATGAACATGTGCGGCAGTTCAGATTTGTTCAATATTTCTCATGTAAGCAAAGGGGCAGATGAAGAAGTTAAGCTTCTTCACAGACTTCCTTTGTTTTAAAGAGAGAGGAGAAAACCTTGCAGGGCAGTGTTCTTCAAGAGTATTTTCTAAACTGATCACCAAAACCAAATGCATTGTACCTTACATCTGTGTTATATATTACTTCCATTTTCCATTCTGCAAGAATAAGAACAGTGGGAAAAGACTTCATCTTTCATAAGATAACTGCTAATGCTTCATAAAAGTTTCCTTTTTCAGTTTAGATTCTATGTCTTTTTTTCTTTTTACATGAATTTACATGTATTCCTTTTACATGAATTGAGCATTTGTGAAAGATGTATGATAATTGACAGCAACAGAAAATAAACTCATTTCATAGGTGAAATTCTGGTTTTAGTCATGTTAACATGATAGTTATTGATCTAACGGATATACAGATCAACAGTTACTGAGTCTTAACAACAGCGTAAACACAAAACCTATGTATTCTGTATACAGGCAAGCACAAGAAACAGACTATAAATGTATGTACTATCATGGTGAAGCTCAGTTGGGATGGGAGCCTCTTCCTAGCCTATTTAGGAAAGTAAAGTAGTGGTCACAGTGCGAAGGTTGCTCCTGCAATATTAAAATTCACTTGCTAGACAGACAACCCCCATCTTCCAGTCCTACCATCCAAAGTTAGGATTACCTGGAGCACCAAGTTTTGCCTTTACATGCCTGTTCAACATGGATACAAGCATGAACACAGAAGTATAGTACCTAGTCAAGGTAGTATACTTTTTGTTTTTTAGAAGTACCTTTTTTTTTTAGCAGTTACTACCTAGTCAATCTACAAAATCAGCACTTTTACAAGGGATCTGTTAGTATCAGGCATTCTCCCTACTAAAAAACAGCTGCATCTTTTATCATCATTTAAATAAAACAAGGCTTTGTTTAACAAACAAACTGGCATTTCTCACTTCAGTGAGATGAGAACTGCCAACTGAGACAAAGCAAGGGTCCATCTAGCACAGTACTGTGTTTCCAGCTCAATTTAGTACCAATTATTTCAGGAAGATGGAAAACACACCTTTGTCTTCTTATTCCTGTCAATCAATCACAAGGACATTAACATGTTCAACAAGAAAATTCACAATCCCAGGCTGCTAGTGTTTACTACTTCTGAAGTATGGTGTCTCTGACATTTTTATTTTAGAGAAACTTAAACCAGTCTAGTCATATATTATCTAATAATGCCTTTATATAAATATGATGTCTATATTAGGAAAAACAAAGGATTTTTATATAACCCTATGGGATACCTATTAAAAATATAAAGTTATAATAATTGATGTTCTTATGTGACTAGTCTAATACCTTATGATTCTTCCGGCTTACTTGCCAAATTAGACATGTGCAATAAGTGCATTACTTGTTGTTCTGTATGTTGAAAATAAAACTCTGAAAAGCCCCAGAAAGAATTTGTGATTAAGCCACTTCGGACTCTAGGTGTCACTGTAATTCCAGAAACAGTAAGCACAGAAATATATTTTATGTCCTCCTCCACCTTGCTTTGTTCTCTTAAAGCAAGCTTTATGTTATTCACATGGACAGTTTCCACAATTACCCTCCCATTACATTACGTGTAATAACCCAAATATCTCATTTTGATTAAAATAATTTCTCCATTTCTGGAAACTGATCTATACACTGATCAAACACCTTACCTGCCTCATCTCTTCTCCATTTGTTCCCCACTCTAAAATTCAAAAGTTTCTCTAGGTGGGTCCAAACTGGTTTTAATTAGCTGCTACAAGGAGTTACTTGAGCCATGAAATGTTCTCCTCTTTGAATGTTCCAAGTATTTTTTTTTTGTTAAATATAAAGCTTATGTACATATCTAACACTTTTTAAAACGCATCGTCTTGTAGAACAGCTGAATGAAAATACTGAAATTCTAAAATCCTTTGTACATCATGAAGACAGCCTGGCAGTTCATTGTCTATTTCTTTAGACTACAGTTAAATAGATCTTAAGTGGGAAAGCTTCAGTGGAATGACAGTAACTTTTGTATGTACTAACTTGCATTGTCTAAAGAAGTTTATATGGGCCCATATCCATGATAGTGGTAAATAGACAAACTGAAGATGTTTTTAAGTTTCAGAACATATTAAGGAAACAAAACTGCCTTAAGCAAAGTGACTAATCTGCTACAAGTCACCACCACAAACAAAAGTATGACTTTGGTTTACAAGACATCTTACAACAGATTTCAACTTTCAACAAGTAGGAATGACCAAGTTCAACAATCACAGAACAAGTTTCCAATCCCTTGGGATTTATAAATTTAACACTCTATTCTCCTCCCAGTATACTGTAGGAGATTAATGATGAAGGATATAAGTGGACTTAGAGTAGTTTCTTCCTTAATTTATCTACCTCCTGTTGAGCCAGGAAGTTGCATGTGGTCTGTCATGTGGTTACCCAACAACATGCAGAAACATAGACGCTGGGTGCAATAGCGATTGCAAAACACAATGGCATATAGTTTTGAAGGCACACAAACAAAAAAGTCACCCAAATAATTTCTCAATTTCTGCTTCTAATATGCCGACGAAAGACTAGAAAGACACTGCTGTTATTTGGAATTTTAAAGAATTTTTAAAAGAGGAAGCGATATTGTTCCACATTATAGGAACAGTAAGTTGTAACCAAATATGCTTGAAATACAGCATACAGTACAGATGCGTAAGTCAACCCCCCATCTCATTTAAGACACACTACTTTTCAGAATAGTTACAAAATTATATGCTTAAACTGTATTTTAAGCAATTCTTCATCTGATGGCTTTATTTTTTATACTTAAAACTTCCCCCTGCTCCACCCCCCTCCAGAAAAACACCACTAGCATATAAAAAGAGGAAAATAGATTCGATTTGATGCATTTGTGATTGCCAGAATGTTATGGTTATTATTTCCGTATTTTCTGGGCATACGTGCCACAGACAAGTCTTAATACTCAAGGAGAGCCAGTGTCCAAACAATGACTGATGAACACCAGTCTTCTAGAATTCAAACCACTTTTATGGGTGCTTCAACCTGAATCCACAATCATAGGCACGTAAAAAAACCATTTCTAGTCTCTTTCGACGTTTAGTCATAAGGACAGATTCATTTGAAAATCTCTCACGTATTTCTTTAAAATACAACTAGGGGAAATAATGGAGTTTTGGCACTGAATTTTACTTTTTTTTATTCCAGTTACTAATACAATATAAATAGCGGTCGATACTTTGTATTAGTAGGGGTCTATATTTTACTTTGAGAGCTCACGTTGGAAAGTGAACATTATCTCCCTATGAACTTTTAGGTGCGGTTCATCTAGAACACTTGAAACAGTTTGACCTGAACTGCTCTATTCAGCATTACAGACAGTTCTGACGGTTTTGCTCAATGGTCGCTAGAGACAACTGGGGTTACCTATATGACAGCAGCAGAGGGCCCTAATCAGAGATCAGTTTTCCCATGTTGCTCCAACACAGCTCAAATGTGGCAACCTGCAGAACAGGATATGTGATTTCAATATTTGAGCTTTTTGCTGGTGCCAACAATGTATGTTGGGGAATTAAGAAAACAGCTTACATCATGTGGCCTATTTACCTATGATTTCATACTTCTGAACATGCACCGTACAAGTTATTTGTAAAAATCAAATACATACATGCCAATTATTTATTAAACATTTAATTTGGGATACTATAGCCTACAGATGTTTTCTTTACCTGCCTAAATAGCTATTAATCTGTGTACTTACCATTTTCCACATACGGGTGAAATGGCAGAACTAATGCTAGAATGACTCTGCCTCTAGTTGGCTCCAGTACACTTCTAATATCTTTTAATACAGTCAGTGGTTGATCACAGCGATCCAGCAAATTCAAACAGCTGATAACATCATACTGAAATCCTGTGTTTTGCCATTCATTTATACCAAGCACCCTACA